CAGTTGAATTTTAGCATTTTTGAATGAATGTAGAAGTGAATTCATTGAAATTCAGAGAGGAACTACTATCTAATGTATATAGAACAATATTTTTTTACGATTAAAGTCATTTGAGAAGTAAAATTGATTCAGTTTTTTAAGGAAAAAACGGAGACGAAAACCACTCTGTTCGATCAGCTTGATGAACGTTTTCATAAAGAAAAGTTTATTTGCACATTCTGGTTTCCATTGGAGAGTGAAATGGACATGTCTCTAACTTGATCATACTAATACAAATTACAGAAAGTGTAAATTTAAAAATTTTCGAATTCATTTTGTTCTGAAGGATGATGTCCTATTTTTTTTTGCATTGTTGTTATTCTCTCTATGTTTCGTTCTTCATTTTTTTTCTTAATTTAACATTTTAATAATTGTAAGCAGTAAATGGTAAGTAAGCCTGTTATACATATCGACTACTTGATCCTGATTATTCAGGCCAATATGATCCGCCTACATTACGATGATCTGTATTGGAGTAGGAGAGTCGAAAGCCTTCAACTTAAAAAATGCTTAAACTCACTACTTAATCCAAAACTATACCTATGTGAGTTTTACAAAAAACGAAATGAAAAAAAAACTGTTTTGGGTTGACTTTTAAGAGCAATTGGCAATTATAATCAGATGTTTCAATGCAATGACGAAGATTTCAAGGCAACTAAGACTACGTATTCTAAAATTTTATTAATTTGATTATATTTTCATTCAATTAACATAGTGAATTTATCAAAAGTGACGAAATCTATAAGAAAAATATCACGAATAATTGGTTGTGAGCATAGACAAGCATGTAGCATGTATATGTATGTGCTTCTATGTTTCGTAGTTATTGCTGGTTTTAATTCTGCCAGTGCTAACGACAACATTCCTCTTCTCAAACACAGTAGTAAGAGCATGAGCTAGTGAACAATAGAGAAGCTTTGTTATGAAAGAGATCATTTGACTACTGTTAATTTCTTGATACCGCACATATGCAGTGCTATTAATGGCTCTTTACTAGAATGATAATAGGTGAGACAACTTGAATATTTGTTATCTTTTCGTTTCTTCATTCGAGACGTCACAGAAAGAAATATGCAAACAGAACCTGTTGGATGCATGTCCGGTCGAACAACAATGCGTTCGTCGGTTGCTCTATAAAACGATCCGCACAGGTAAAATGCGCACAATATTTTTGCATTTTGTCGACTGTTTACTGGTGAGTAACGTTTTCATTACTACCGAAAAAAGACTAAATAGCTTCTATTGCAACTAACGTAGAATTTCAGATGTCCATAATAAAATAGACCAATTTTTTCTCGAAATATGCAAGCATTCACAAGCACTATTGCTGCAAAGATGGATACAAATTAGCTAAACATTCATAAATAAACTTTTTTCTTTGTAGTCTTAGAAACCTAGAAATGATATCTGTTCGCTTTTTCTGTTCTCCTATTCTTTTCGATAGAGAATTAATAGTGAGTTTGCATTATCCGTGCATTGGTGAGAAATAAGTATTTTGGAAAACAATTTTAGTTTTTATAAGAAACTATCCTAGTGAAAACAGTTATATTCGATTAAGGATAGAGTTTTGGACTCAACATACTGATTTATAGACTTAACATCAATGATGAGATGAATCCGGACATGAAAATTTCGCATCAGATGCTACTTTTAATTACATGTTTGAATGATAGTGCTGCTGTCTGAAATCTTGCAGTTTTAAATGATATATCTTATTTTTTTCTGTAGCAACAATTAGAAAATTATCAAAATGCCGTGTTGTTGCTTATGTGAGCTAACATTCGGCTTGATTTGGAAAATTGCATTCGCCTTTTTTTTCTGGATATTAAACATTATAATGGTTGTCTTCAATGTTCTAATATTTCGTGCCTATCAGCATCGAGGCGCTTATCATATAGAATTTGCTTCCACAAGTCACATTAAACGCACCTATTATTTAATCAAGGATAATTTTACAAAGAGTTCCTGTTCTAATATCTCAGCATTAACCTATTATCCAATACCCAGTTTTAATTCAACCATAATTGGCCGCAATAATAACAGTATGATTCTGATAATATTATTTTGGATAATGATGGGTGTTTCAGTCGTCGGCAGTATTTTTTTAGAGCTTGTTGCCAAGAGATGGAAAAATGATCATGGATGTTGTTCTAGTGAACATTGTTCTGGATGGCTGATTTTAGCATTGCCAAATTAGACTATTAAAAAATTATATCATAATTCTTTGTGTTCATTGGTTCTATCATGAATTTGCTTGTTCTTGTTATAATTGAATAGTACAAAAATCTATTGCAATAGTTCTTATGTTGTGCCAAGCGTTTATATGGGACTTTTTGATTTATCAAAGGCATGTTTATCGTTTCATGCTCAATTTTCCTATGAACTTTTGTTTCCTTTATGGCTGCCCACAATAGTTATATCATCGGTATCGATTCTTTTTTTTATAATTAGTACTGTACTTCTCATTCATGTGTATCAAAGAAACGAAGACAGCACAAGTAACTCAACAATGGTCAGCATTTTTAGATGCATAATGTTTGTTATTGCTATACCATTATGTTTATATGTAATCGCGATCCACATAATGGCTTTTATTATATTCCTACACGGTGGATTGGCTCCCTTGTGTCGTGGTGTTGTCATATGTGCTCTGATAGCAAATGCTCGTCTTATAAAGCTGCTTGTATGGCCAGAGTAGTGATCGTGAATGACGATATTCACACTAAGAGGTGTTGATACTCTCTAAAAATACTGTAACTCATACAAACTTTTATAGAACTTTTGTTTGAACTATGTATTAGAGCGAAAAGAAGCGAAACCAATTAAAGATCGAACAAGGCCCAAGTAGATATGAAGGATAACAACAAGATAGTAAATATGTCTACGTGTGACATCATTGTGATATACTCCCTAATTGAACGCAAAAATGTGCTCTAATAATCAACATTTTTTAAAACAAATGACAAAAAAGTGACGAGAAACGTAATGAATAATATACCGAGAAGTGAAAATAAAAGCTAACGAATGTTCAGATACAAATATGTGAAAAACGATTTTTGAACGATTACAAATATAAGTACAACAAAATATGAGTTTAAATGTAACAAAATAATAGAAAAAGGAAAGAGCGAGTGAAGGATTTTTTCACAATGATAATGGCTGACAGTCAGTCAGTTATCACAACTATAAATAGAATTAGCTAGATATAGATGATCATAATAGAAAAAAGTATGTTTAATTAACACATAGAGGGTTGGGTCTGGGTGTGAATATTACTGTTCTGTTTAACCAACCACCCACACGCACACCGACACACAATTTCTGTTTATTGTGAATGCTATGAGTCGCGGATGTGAATGTGGGTATGAGGGAGGAGAAGAATCACACCTCACAACGGCACCCAACCCCGAATGACTAATAAGAGTTTAATCAATTGACAATTCTTACAGATAAAAAAGTCGACAATATCAGAAAGACGAGCTGTTTTGTTTGATTCTTTAGGTCACCAGTTATTGACATATATACAAAAACATCCAGCAAAAGTTTGACCCGAACAAAATTTTAATTCGAAATATACCTATTGTATAAGTTCAGATCAGATCAGTAGTTCAAAACTTTTTGCTTCGAAGTAAGTAAAGTTATGGAACGAAAGACTATCGGCAAAGGCACTGGATTTTATAAAAACTATTCATTGTGCTTGAAATCATCAATCTCGTAATTAACATCAACTATTTATTCAAAAAGAAAGTATTTTAATAGAATTGTTTGACATCTGGTGAAACTACAAAGTCGGGAATTTGGTTTCGATTCGAGCAAGATAGTCGAACAGTATCAAAAATCGAAAATGATATTCCTGTATATGTGTGGCAAAAGAAACATTGATACATTCTTTTTAATATTTTTCTAAATAAATATTCTTGCTTTGTTTGATATTTTTCATTAAATTATATTGTTTTTACTGCAGTTTTCACTTAGCCATCATTTACTTATTAGAATGCAAAACCAATAACGACGAAAAGATCGATCTAATTGTTGTTCGATAATGATACGATGCTCGAAAAATAACAAATATGTTGATAATAAGGCAAAATATACAATAGTTTTATTATTTACAGATATTACATTTCATAGCAAGTGATTGTTCAAAGCAGAGATGGACAAAATCGCACCGCGCCTCACCGCGCTTCCCCGCGCCACTGCTCGCGCCTAGGCGCTACGCACATCTCTCTTTCTCTTTGCTCTACCAATCAGTTTCACAAACTCCACCGAATACCAGGATGCTCTAAGCATGCGCTCATCGAAGCTCAGACTAGTGTAGCGTAGGCGTGAGCAACGGCGCGGGGAAGCGCGGGGAGGCGCGGTGCGATTTTGTACATCTCTGGTTCAAAGTACTGAATTCATTGACGAGAAAAGTTAAGTCTCTGTTGTTTCCTGGTCGAGTACACATTTATGTTAATGAACTTTAATATTCATTTTATATGCATAAATGGGAAGGGTCTCTAACGTATACTAGAGACATCTATATGCTATTTTAACTTTTTTTTCTTCAAATAGAGTAATTTATCAATGATTTAAATATTATTATTTCATTTATTCATTATGACAACAAATTCATAGTTTAATAATTTGTTTGAAATTGAATTATTCATTTTTATACGATACTTGTAATCGGATCGATATTATTTGTTTATCTTTCGATTCTTTTATTTCTTCCACTTACTCATTCTCATGTTTGCTTTTAATGAGTCATCAATGACAATCTCCGAAAAAAGAACATATATAAATCGATACACATGTATACATTCTTTCTCGTCGACTGACAACAAAGAAAAGAAAATATTTTATCCGGATAAATGTCTTACCGATCATTTGATCATCAATCCTTGAGAATAAAAAAAAAAAAACAACAACACATATAATCTTAACTTTTTGTTTTTTGTTTTTTATTCAATCTATTATAGATGCCGTTCTGGAAAAAAGATCCTGTTAAAAAAGAAATATTTACCAATGTCGCCGAAGGCCTACGACAAGTTTATAAAACAAAATTATTACCACTTGAAGAAACCTATAAATTTCATGAATTTCATTCACCACAACTTGATGATTGTGATTTTTCAGCTAAACCTATGGTACTTCTTGTTGGACAGTATTCAGTTGGAAAAACAACATTTATTCGTTATTTACTAAATGTAAATATTATTTGTTTTTTTATTCTTGATTATATTGTGTTTCTTTTTTTTATCAGGAAGATTTTCCGGGTATTCGTATTGGACCAGGTAAAAAAAATCTAAATTTTTTTTTTTTTTCATTCAATATTTTTTCATAGAACCAACAACTGATTCATTTATTGCAATAATGCATCATGATCATCCGAGTACAGTACCAGGTAATGCTTTAGTTGTTGATCCAACAAAACCATTTCGACCATTATCAAAATTTGGCAATGCATTTTTAAATCGTTTTGTTTGTTCACAATTACGTAATGAAGTTTTAGAAACAGTTACATTTATTGATACACCTGGTATATTATCTGGTGAAAAACAACGTGTTGATCGTGGTTATGAATTTACACAAGTACTTGAATGGTTTGCTGATCGTTGTGATCGTATATTATTATTATTTGATGTTTCATCACTTGATATATCTGATGAATTAAAACGTGCTATTGAAGTTTTACGACGTAATGATGATAAAATACGTATTGTACTTAATAAAGCTGATTCTGTTGATCATCAAGCATTAATGAGAGTTTATGGTGCATTAATGTGGTCATTAGGAAAAGTACTTGGAACACCAGAAGTTTGTCGAGTTTATGTTGGATCATTTTGGTCAAAACCTTTACATTTTGATTCAAATAGACGTTTATTTGAATTAGAAACAAAAGATCTATTTGATGATTTAGGTAACAATAAAAAGAAATAATTCTTTATAAATTGTTTTTTGTATCGACTAAGTTACAATAGTTTTATAAACGACCCAAGAGAATTTTTCATAAAAAAAAACGACTTTTGGGAGAACAAAAAGATCATCACGTTTATATATTTTTTGAAATATTCATACATACATACACAAAATATCTATAGGAGGAACATATAAAATATTTTGTTTTTTTTATATAAAACTTTAATTTAGAATCATTACCAAAAACAGCAACACTTCGAAAATTAAATGATCTGATTAAACGTGCACGTTTAGCTAAAGTAAAAAAAAAACTTTAATATTCATGTTTCTTTCTTTTTATTATTTATAATCCAATATAGGTACATGCATTAATTATTAGTGAATTAAAAGAAAGTATGCCAAGTGTTTTTGGTAAAGATTCTAAACGTAAAGAATTAATTAATGTAAATATTTAATATAATTATTATATAGATTTTGTTTTTTTCAAATATTGAATTTATTATAAATAAAATAATCTTTCATTTAGAAATTACATCTTGTCTATGAAAAAATTCAACGTGATCATAATATTCCAATGGGTGATTTTCCAAAAATAGATCGTATGCAAGAATTATTAAAAAATATGGTTCGATATGAAAATTTAATACATATATTTTTTCTATAATTATTTTTTTTTCATATTAGGATTTTACTAAATTTAAACCATTAGATAAAAAATTACTTGATCGTGTTGATAAAATGCTTGCTGAAGATGTACCAAAATTAATGAGTATGATACCACAAGAAGAACATGCTTATTTACAATTAAAAACTGAAACAGGACGTACAACACCATTACAAACAAATACAATATTTACTGATCAACAAGCAACACCATTTGAATTAGGTGGTGTTGAAGGTATTAATGAAGGTGTTGGTGAAACTGAATGGATTGTAACACGATCAAGACATGAATATGATGAAATATTTAGTCAACTTTCACCACAAAATGGTAAAATTAGTGGTGCAACAGCTAAACAAGAAATGATTAAATCAAAACTTGTAAGTAATTGATATATTAATAAATATATTTATTTATTAAATAATTTTGTCATAGCCAAATAATGTACTTGGTCGTATATGGAAATTAAGTGATATTGATAAAGATGGTATGCTTGATATTGATGAATGGGCTTTATCTCAACATCTTAGTATGTATTGATTTTTTTTTTTATTTTCTTAAATAATTTAAAAACTATGTTGTTTTTTTTTAAAGTTAAAATCAAATTAGATGGTCATGAATTACCAAATACATTGCCTGAACATCTTGTACCTCCAAGTAAACGTCATTTAATTTCTAATGGAAGTTCAACAAATGGTAATACTAGTATTTATCCAACAATTAGCAGTGGTGGTGAACAAAATACTAATGCCGATAGTTGATTTTCTTTTTCTTTTTGTTTTAAATTCTTCTCCTCTTTCAATTAGTTGATAACAACTATGAGTATTGGTTAAATATATTTTATGTACCTAACAGTGAACACTGTAGCAAAAAAAAATGAAATTTAAAAAACAAAAAAAAAACAAAGCAAATCACTTATATCTCATTTATCTTGCCTATTTCTCATCATATTAATACAATCGTGCGTGTGTGTGTATGTTTTTTTTTATGAAAAGTTTTCTTCTTTTTTTTTTTGTTCTGATGTAACTATTTATGCTCGTTTAGAAGTTATGTATCCAATGGAAAGACATGAATAAACTGAACACATGCTCGAATTACATACAAAGACAGATGTAGCAGAAAAAAATAATCAAGCATTAAATAAATGATGACAACATTTATTCAATCTAATTTTCATTTTTTTTTTTAACTCTTATCATATTCCACCTGTTTGTTCAATAGGACTGATAAAATGTTATATTTAAAGTCATTTCCGTTTAAATATAGAAAAAAATGAAGAATGACAAACTGATAAGTATTATCATTTTAATATAAAAAAAAAAAACTGACAATAAACATATAACAGAATGATAAAATAAATTTGCCTTACATCTGTTAGTAACTATGATCAATTACTAATGAAAAAAAAAAAAACTAGTCTCGATTGTTCAAACATTTGATAACACGTAGGATCTTAATTCATTTCTCAGGTTTTTTTTTTTTTTTTTTTCTTCTTTTTATAAAATAACGAAGACGTTTTCTCTCTTATTCTTATTCTTATTCTTTCTTTTTTTTTTTTCTTTACTTTTTCTTTGTGTTACCTTCACTTGGGAAAAAAAAGTTTTTCTCTTCTTGTCGACATTTCTTGTAGTATAGACTAATCATCCGTTGCTCTCTTGTTTTAACTGTTGAGTATATGTGTCTGTTGTGTAGGATACCACCTTCTCACTTTTTTTGAAGGCATATAGCAAAAAAAGAAAATGAGAGAATAAGAGAAAGACAGAAAAAAGAAATGAGAGTCATAGACTAGATGAAATGAACGTCATATTCATTCTATTAAGAGCAACAAATGTGAGTAACAGTCAATTTTATCCTTAAGATAAAGATAGTTAGTATATATATATATATAAGTCTTGATGAAAATGAAATTGATATACAATTATTTTTTCAACAAAGGTAAGTTTATGTTTTTTTTGTTATTTCAAACTATATAATGAACAATTTAAAAAGAACTTGTTTATACATTATGTTAATATAAAGTATGTCTACTACTACATAATAGAGTAAAGACTTACAGAATAGAGAAAAGTTCAGAACAAGGATTAGAGACACTAGAAGAAACAGACGAAGAATATAGGAGAAAGAAAAGTGAAACGCCTACTTGCCGCCTGGTTCCGTCACCGTTCAGCAATGTAAAGAAAAACGAGTAAAAATATGCCCATTGTACACAGAAGGAAGAATAAAAGGAAAAAAAAAGACTCCAAGAATGGTGTTGATGATGAACTTTACTTACTAAGTTGGTTATATTGTATGACAACGTAAGTGACGGATAATAATGGCGGTTTTCCGACATCACATACATTTACACATGTGTCTCTTCACGGTCGAATGCCTTTCCATTGCGCGTAAGTGAAGAAACGAATGAGTTATGCGTATGCATACATAATTAACAGAGAGAAAAAAAAAAAGAAGATCGACGCGATTCAGGCGTGACACGACACTATGACAAGATCGACGGTTCCTTTTATTAGATTGTCCTCATGTTAGTCCGGGCATCGTCACTAATGATTGATGAAGAGTTAACAGTAAAAATGTGCATGAGCTTTTGCTCTTTTTTTTTCCCTAGCCCACCTTTTTTTTCTTCACACGCACACACATTCCGGTGCCGTCAACAAGCTGCTGTTTAGACTCAATCATCATCAACATCATCCTCTTTTCTTCATTTTCTTCTCTTCTATTTTCTCTTGAGAATCATGATAAGAATATAATCTTCAACAAAAAAAAAAAAAACGACGTGTATAAGTCTTTACATAAATGCTTTGACATTGTTTCAATATTTAATTATTTAAGTCAACTTCATTTTAGTTATTAATAAACTAAAAATAATGACGTTCATTTGGAAGACCTTTGATTTAGTGTTCTGACTATTTTATATCAACACTAGATTTAACGTCTTCTACCTATTACGTCAGATTATTCGACGATTCAATTATGATGGTTATTTTATTTCAATGATATTGAATTCTTGATTTTAACTTTTTTTTTGTTGTTTTTTTGTTGAATAAATATCATATACATACCCATTTAGAAGGGTCATAATGATCGATTAATGAATTGTAGAAGTCATGTTTAACAAAGAAAGACAAGAAGAAGAAAAAAAAAAAAATCTTTTGTAAGTTTTTGATAATGATTCTTGAAACAAGTTGTAATAAAACCCTTAAAAATGATCACATATTACATATATAACGAGTTTCTACTACCTTTTCTTTTACTTTCTTCTATAGGAAGCCTAACAATAATAGTTAAGTTAAAATCATTCAAGCATATAATTTGCAACTAAGCAACATATTTAAAGTAGTACTTCAAAAACAAAAAAAAAACTAATGTTTTTTTTTCTTTCTAATTATAATAAAACAACTTACTAATATCTTGAAATATAATCTATAATTTAAATGAAATGAAACCAATGACAATTTTTTTTTCTTTTTCTCTTTGTTATTGTACACAAATTTTAATCGTTACTATTTTGTTCTCTTGTTCTTTATAATAATAGTAAATAAGTAAACATAAGTTTTGATCTGTTCTGTCATGATGATGTTGTTGTTGCCATAGAACAAACGTTTTCTTTTTTTGTTTTTTTGCTGATCACTTGTTTTTTGTATGTTGCATCCATACGCATGCTAGAGTAAAAAAGCATTCAAACATCTATATATATATCTCATTTTAAAAAATGGGTGACGATCTGACAGGTAAATAATGAACCTATAAAATAAATTTCCTTTAGGCATAATTTTGTATGTTTTATATTCAAGAATATCCAACACATCGTGTACGTTTACAACCATGTCATATTTGTGGACGACAATTTAATACAGAAACATTAGTAAGATTATAAATAATATTTGTTTTTTTTTTTGTTATTCAATATGATAGTTAAAAATGTCCTTCAAAATAGATTAAGTTAATAAATTGAGAATTGAAATCATACTTGATGTCATCAATTTTTGTTTTAATAGAGAATACTCTTGAAGCATATAAGTTTATTTTAATGATAAAATGAAATGTAATATATAAGAATGAAAAGAGACGTTTTTTTACTGTTGAGTGTTTTATAAGAATAAAGATGCTCTTGTGTTTCTTTTTTTTTCTTTTCTTCACTCTTTTATTTCGTTATCTATTAGAGAATTGATAAGAAAAAAAAACACACTTTTTCTTTTCTTTTTTCTTTGACACTCAAAGATTTTATGATTGTAGAATTTTGATTTTGAATAATTATAGAAAAAACATCAAGCTATTTGTCGAAAAGTAACAAGTAAAAAACGAAAAGTATTCGATACTGGAAAACAACGAGCTACAGGTTCTGATGTTCCATACAAAGCAACAAAACGAACAATGCAGGTGAATATAATCATTTGTATTATATAATCAATGGATTTATCAATATATTTAGATATATACCGGTGAAGCTCGACCTCAAGATGATAGGGTAAAGAAGAATACATAAATAATTGATTCTCATATTATTTATTGTGACATATTTTTAAAATGTTAGTCGAAATCAAAATCAAAAGGAAATTGGAGACAAAAACATGCACAATTGATTCAATCTATACGAGAAGCTCGAACTGTTACTCGTGCTATAAAAGAAGGAGGACCATTACCAGCTTTTCGACCGAGTGAAATTCCATCAGGTTGATTCATTTGTTTGTTCTTTTTTCTTTTTAATGTTTATATGTTTATTAAGATTATATGGCGTGTCCTTATTGTCATCGTAATTTTAATGAACATGCTGCTAAACGACATATACCTTTGTAAGAATTTATTTCATTTTATATATAATCTTTGTTTTTTTTTGAATTTAGTTGTCAGACACAGCATGAACGAAAACAAGTACAACCTTCTAGACCTAATCAACAATTTGATAGAGTATAATTAAATTTAATATAGATTTAAAAAAATAAAATTCTTTTGTTTTTCTTTTCTAGGGACGAACTCTTCCTCCACCAAATTCATATCCACATAAACAACAATCATCTCATTCAGGCATACATTCAGGTCCTCATGATGTTTATAATAATGGTTATAAACATAGTAACTCAGCTCCTATGATAGCACGACGACATCCATCTGAGTAAGTTTTATTTGAATAAAAAATTTTTAAAATAACTCTATTTTTAGATTACATCCACCGCCACCGCCACCATCGCATAAAACAACAGGTGGTGGTGGAGTTTGGGGAGGTTTTAAGAGATTATTTGGTTTCGATTCTAGAGATGAAGAAGAATCAAGACGACCTGTGAATTATTATTCACCTGAAGTAAGTTATTTTTACGAATGAATTTTTTTTTATGACAATATATGATTTTAATAAGGATGAATATGATTATGAACCACCCGTTCATCAACGTAGTCAACAACCAGTACTTATGCGTACAGGACGTACACAAGCGAATACAAGTTTAAATGTACGTGCTCGTCAAAGAAATGATGAAGCAGGTTCATATATACGTCGAGGACCACCTCCACCAGCTCCTCCTCCTTCATATAGTCAAACACGTAATCAATATGGTAATAGTCAATATAATTCCACAAGACCAACTGCTGTTGGACGACCACCACCACAACTATCATCTGGAAAACGATGTAATGAATGTGGTAGTGTTTTTAATAATTCATCCGCTCGTTTCTGTGCTAACTGTGGTTCCAGACGTTAAGATCAAACTTTTGTTTGTGTTCTTTTTTTGACATTCAGTGTTTGTACAACAGTTTGTTTTTTAAATTAAAAAATACACTTTCACACATTCAGAGGAAAAGAAAAAAACAAGAAAACTTAACCAAAAACTTGATTTGTACGTCGTTTAATAAAATCATGAATTAATGTTTTAACACTTGGTGTTAAAATAAATTGAAATATTGAAATAAGTAATAATATACAACTAATAAATGCTAATATAATTTTATATGAATATTCTAATGATATTTGAATTGTTTGTGAATTAGTTGCAGCAATAATAGTTAAAATAACAATTGGAAAATTCATAATAACAAGTGCTAAATAAAAAATAATAATACGTTTAAGCATTTTAAATTCACGTTTAATACGTCGTTGTTCTTGAGATATAATTATTTGATTTCGATGTTGACTATGTGAATGATGTGTTATTTGTGCTATATGTAAATGTGCATGTTTTATAACTGATATATAAAAAAAAGCATCAATAATTAAAGGAATAAAATATTCTATTAATAAAAATAAAAATAATTCATAAAATAAATTCCAATTTAAATGACATATATTAATAATTGGATTATAAATAAATAAATTTATTTTTAATAAACGAAATGTATATAACCAAGCAAATATCCATTGTAATATAAGTATAAAAAGAAAAATATGATAAGTACGAAAATAAATTTTATTATGATATACAACTGATGAATAACGATGAAATGCTTGTAAATAATATGAATGATAAATTAATATTAATGATACATAAAAACAATAAGCAATTATTTGACACGAAAAATTATTATTTAAATTAAATTTTAACATAAATATACTCATTAATAAAAGACATATATTTGCCATAATAACTGTTATACTTGAATGACATGTTAATGCCATACTAACTGAATGTATTGATGATGCAAATATAACAAATAATATAAATGATATAGATAATAATATTGATAATATACATGTTACAAGAATAAGGTACTCGATTAACATTTTGATCGTAATCAAATGATACTTGAAAAAAAAAGGATATAATTGTTCTTTTCATTATTATTTTTTTTTTTTTT